CTTTGCCACCTTCCAATTACACGAGCTCCAGCGGCTTCACCACACACACTAAGGGTCTTCGCAGGACAAGGATTCTAAGATGGTGACACTGCAGCTGTACATGGTGGGGTCTGGGACGCCATTGATGTCAGATGAGTGCCAATCCAGGAAATGATTTAAACATGCTGACAGGTGCCCTGAACTTAGCGTCATTCAAAACATAGGTTTTTTTAACATAAAGAAGGAAAAGTCCATGCAGCTAAGATCACCTTGGGACTTCTCTTTCTCTGATGGCCTGCAAGAGCAGGCTCTCTGCAGGAGAAGATGCACATTGTTGGAGTATTAGAGAACCAGCCAATGAAATATGACGGGTGTAGATGGGGAGGTAGATGGGTGCTGTAGATACTGGCTGTAGCTGGTTCCTATGGGCTTTCAAGTCGTTCATAGACCATGGAAATGGATAACTGACTTCATCCAACCTCTACTTCTCAAGTGACCTTTTTAAGGATGCTTATTTTATTTTATTTTAAATATTTATTTATTTAGAGAGAATGAGTGGTGGAGAGGGGCAGAGGGAGAGAGAGAGAGAAGCAGGAAGCCCAACTCAGGGCTTGATCCCAGGTCTGGGAGATGATGACCTGAGCCGAAGGCCGAGAGACTTAACCGACTGAGCCACCGAGGTGCCCCAAAGGATGATTATTTTACATCTCAAACTTATAAAAGTGTTAGAACTATGGTCCTTTAGCAACCACATATTCAACATTTCACCACCAACTGATTTGGTCTACTCTATTAGGTTGGAAAGACAATAATTTCCTCTCCTAACACTGCTGTTTATTCTGTGGCTGAGTCACTTGTACACTATCTGCCTAAAGGTATGTGGCATCTTGCCTTCACCTGCAGGACATAGATCAGAGATTTCATTTGTACCTATGCAAGGAGCTCACAATGGTTTTCTTATCTGAAGAACAGTTGCAAAATGTTTGTTTATTGGAACAGGAGGTAAAAACAATACATCTGTAAGGGTGAATTATGTCTGAATTCATAGGAAGTGGACAATACAGACATTTATTTATTTATTTATTTATTTTTTAAGATTTCATTTATTTATTTGACAGAGAGAGACACAGCTAGGGAGGGAACACAAGCAGGGGGAGTGGGAGAGGGAGAAGCAGGCTTCCTGCTGAGCAGGGAGCCCGATGTGGGACTCGATCCCAGGACCCTGAGATCATGACCTGAGCCGAAGGCAGACACTTAACGACTGAGCCACCCAGGTGCCCCGTCATTTATTTATTTTTAAAAATTTTATTTATTTGTTTGAGAGAGAGAGCACATGAGCAGGGGCAGAAGGAGATGGAGAAGCAGACTCCCTTGCTGAGCAGGGAGCCTGATGCAGGGCTTGATCCCAGGACCCTGGGATTGTGACCTGAGCCAAAGGCAGACGTTTACCTGACTGAGCCACCCAGGCGCCCCACAATACAGCTTTTTAAAACAGTTTTCCCATTTCTTCCCCTCTTAGCCTTTGCCAGTCACTGGTCTGCTAGTCTCTATGGATTGACCTGTTCTTGACATTTCATGTAAATGGGAATCATGTAACATGTGTCCTGTGTTGTGACTGGCTTATTTCACTTAAGATAATATTTTCAGGGCTCATCCACATGTAGCATGCATTAGTACTTCCTTTATATGGCCCAATAATATTCAAATCTGTGGGTATGTCCTATTTGGCTGCTCCCTGCATCAGTTGATGGATACTTGGTTTATTTCCACATTTTAACTATTATGTCTAATGTTGTAAACATTCATGTACAAGTTTTTGTGTGGGCATGCGTTTTCAAGTCTCTTGGGAATATACCTCGGTGTGGAACCGCTCGCTGGGTTATATGATAACTATATTTAATATTTTGCAGAACTGCCAAACTGTTTTCTAAAGTAACTGCACCAGGGCACCTGGGTGGCTCAGTCCATTAAGCATCTGCCTTCGGCTCAGGTCATGATTCCAGGGTCCTGGGATCAAGTCCCACGTCGGGCTCCCTGCTCAGTGGGGAATCTGCTTCTCCCTCTGCCCCTCTTCCCATCTCATGCTCGCTCTCTCTCTCTTTTTCCCTAGTGCGTGCTTGTGCCAAAATAAATAAATAAAAATCTTTAAGGTCGCTGCACCATTTACATCCTCACCAGCCACGTAAAGGGGTTCTGATTTCTTCACATCCTCATCAACACTTACTGTCTGGAACAATACAGTATTATAGCAAACTTGTAATCATTTAGGCACTGATTATCTATAAGGTGGGTTTTCTAGGATTTTGGTTTCTCTGTGTCCCAAGTAACTGATTTGTCAGTTTTGGTCTAATCATCTCCAGTTTCACTTTCCTGGGGATAGGCAGGTGAAGAGAACATGGGAGAAGTTTCGCTGGTTAATGTAGGTACATATTAACCCCTGTTGACAAGTTGTTGGCTAGAAAGGTTTAAGGGGGTGAAAGGCTGAATGTATCAACTTCAGTGAAGTTTTGGGTTAGTGACAAGCGCTCCCCGTAGGACTGGGGATATATTCTTGGGTACTATGCTAATTTGTAAATTTGGGGTTTTCCTTTATGAAAACAGTGAAAACTAAGCATGTTCCATATTATCTGGATGACTGCCATATAGGGAAAACTGAAACTTAATTTTAGTGCCTTTGTGTTTGAGTTTGTTTGGTGCCAAGAAATTCAACAGAAGTGACGGGGCACTTAAAGGCAGAGTTTTAAAACCCTCTCCAGGGGCCTGGGGTAAATTCTAAGAGTTTCCTATATTACTCGAATGTGGCGAGGAGTGGTCATGGTGAGTACTTCTCTGGTGTTTTCAAAGAAGCCCTTGTAATGACAGTGAGATTGAAGGCATACTCCCAAAGGATCGAAGGCTTCACACAAAGAAGCCTGTTGCAAGCGAACATTACTTTGAAGTGTTCTGAGACAATCTTTAACCTTTACGTGAATTTATATTCTGTTTCATAATATTTACATAATCGATAACTAATACTCATTGAAATATAAAATAAAGTCTTAAATTACATAACATCAAATGAAAATAGCTGCCCCTTTCCCCAGCATACTAAAACAACTTCCAATTTATGTAGAACAAATTTTTTAATTGTCCTTTTCATGTCATCCATTCATTTCATAAATGTTGATTCGTCCCTGCTCTGGGGCCGTAAAAAATATAAAAGATGTTACCCATTCGCTTTAAGATCCTGGAAAGTCCTTGAGGAAACAGTACCAAGATGTGATCCAAGAAATCAAGTGCAAGTCAACATAAAACGAAAAAGGCAACATAAAATGAAAAAAGAGGTGAGGATGCTATGGAAAGAGATTTTGGGGCAGGGTGCTTAAATATGTGTGAATCAATTGCTGAAGATGACAGTTTACAGCTGGAAGGACCTGAGCTTACATCCCTGTGCTTAAACTTGCCTTATGACTTTGGTCAAATGACTTACCCTTTCCAGGCATCACTTTGTTTCCCCCAAGGGATCATGCATTTTTAAGTTCTTGTTGGAAATTTCTAGAACTAGGTCAGTTTTGAGAGGCAAGGGAGTGTGGTAGAGAAGAGGTCAGATTTTGTTATTTCATCAGGGTTCATCACCTCAGTCCTTCTACTGTGTGGCTTTGGGCCTCTCTGTAAGTCTCTAGGACTCACCATACTCACATATGAAATGAAGGTAACTGGAATTGCAGGTAGAGCAGAGACAAGAGTAATGAGACTGTTCGAGATCTTTTTACTGGTTTGGGCATTTGATATAGAATCTGGAGAATGAGTAGAGCAAAGAGAACATGATTAAGAACCATGGAAGCTAAGTAGGTCTATGTAATATATCGTAATATAGTATCTATACTAATAGCCTACAGAAAAAGAAGAGAGGTAGAAAAGATAGAAAGCACTCAGATGATAGAAAAATAGAGGAGACTTTAAGAATCATCACTATGGGTTATGATGTTCTTAGTCAAGTAAAGATTGCAGTTCATTTTAGAAATAATTCTGGTTTCTTCTTTGCCTGTTTGTTCATATACATGAACAGTCTATTACAATGTCTGGTACCTAATGTTCATTAAATATCATTTACTTTCTGAAGAAATTGTCAGGTTAGTAGGGAGTAGTATATTTCAAGAGACAATAATAGGCATGCTTTCTAAATTAGACTAGAATGTTGGATTGAACAGAAGAAGGAGTTGAGTGTGAAATGAGCAACCAGCTGCCAGGTGTGGGTGAGTAGTGATCAGATATATTGGAAAAGTAGGACTAAGTTATTTGGAAATCTTAACTTTGTGATAAAACTTTATTTGTTTTAATTTTTGTTAATTTTTCAGTCTTTAGAAAAGACTCCTGTTTCAAGGAAAGTCTTTCATTCTACTCTCTGAAACCCCCATATCAGCTACATTAATTAACATTCATATGATAAAGTAGTTAAATGTATGATAATAGTGACAAAAATTGTGACTTATACAAAACAGAAATGATAAAGATGGAAAGAGTAAGTGGCAAAATGGTGATTAAATATAGATTAAGTATATCAAACAGTTTTCAAGAGGAGCAGAGATTTATATAGTCTGTCAGGAAAGGGCTGCTGAAATGTTTGCTAAGTTAGAGACAAAGCTAGTTAAAGTCCTACAGGGCAGTAACCTTTGCAGTATGTTCTCTGCAAGGCAGAAATTATTTGCATCGCTGCTGGACAAAAATAATCTACAAATTAACCTGTAACTTACCTAATCAGTGCTAAACAGCAAGTCAGAATAAGGTCCATTCTTCTAGAGAATGGAAGAATCTTGGGTGGACCTGTTAGACCTGCTATGGTGGGATCCTAAAAGGTGGCTATCCTTTACCTTATTTTCATTTCTGGGTAATTAGAGATTAGAGAGGGCCATTAATACCACCCAAATTACTAGGATGTATGGGACTGTCCATTGAGTTCCCTATGTCTCTCAATGTGCATGGAGTCTTCTGGAAGCAGATTTTTGTCCTGGGCTGAAATCCTGCACTAACATGTTTGGTTTCTTTTTCTTTTTGAAGATTTTATTTATTTATTTGAGAGAGAGCAAGTGAGCATGAGCAGGGGGAGGGGCAGAGGGAGAGGGAGAGAAAGTCTCAAGCCAATTCCCTGCTGAGTGTGGAGCCTGACACGGGGCTCAGTCTCATAACCCTGAGATCATGACCTGAGCCAAAACCGAGAGTTGGACTCTCAACCCACTGAACCACCTAGGAGCCCCTATATGTTTGGTTTCTCTAAAACAGAACCATTGCTCTTCCAACAACTAACCTTCCCATTTTTCCTCTCTTGTTTTCTCATTTTGTTTCTAAACTGACTGTACTTAAATGTCAGGTCTTCACAGCCTCTCCCCCGCCCCTTCAACTCCCATATAGACTTATGGAAAGTCACTTTGTAATAAAGCAGCAAGCCTATTTCAGATACAAATTGCTTTGCTGTATGTTCCAGGAACAAGAGAAAAAAGTCTAGAGGTCTCTGAAATGCTTTGCCACTAAATCCTTTAGACTCTGGTTACAAAACCCACAGTATTCTCTCACTGAGTTATTAAGTTTGGTTTGGGATTAATGTAGGAGTACCCCTCTCTCTCATTCTTGTGGCAGTCTACATCAGTTTCCTAAATAACTGTTGTTTGGAACTTAAAACTGGACAGAGCCTTATTCAGGTAAGTAGGTGGGCTTTGTTTTATAGTCTCTTCTCTTTGTCCTTGTTTTACAAAGCCCAGGTACTGTGTGAGCCTGTCTCACATGTGATCTTTAGGACCTGGAAACTAACTAGCTCGGCAAAGTTAGAAGGTTCCCAGGTGAGAACCAGAAGGCATCCAAGATGGGTGGTGTCCCTTCCTACAGGATTTGTCTGCTGTTTATGTAAGGATTGGATTTTTAGGATCTGTATTATATATTGCAGGATCAGAAAACCATAAAGGTGGAGGACACCTCAGAGGTCATGAATCCAGCCCCACACTGTTTGTGGTCTGTGGTCCCAGCTACTAAGCCCACCTTTGGTGGAAAGCATGAACCTCCCTAAATGGCATGTTCTGTTTCCTTGATTGTTCATGAATTCTCTGTCCCAGAATGAAAGCAACCTCATTCTGTGCACTGATTCTACCCAAGGGTACATATCCAAATAAATCTCTATTCCCTCTTACATAGGAAAACCATTGTGATATCTTCCCTAATAGTTGTCTTTTTAAAGCTCAGAATCCCAGAATCCCTCTACTGTTTGTGGAAGGTAATGGGTGGCAGACAGCTGTCCAAACAGATTTGAAGTTTCTCTGTTTCTTTTAAGATGTGGTACTTGGAACTGGATATATTACTCCAAATTAACAGGCCAGTGTATGGGTTTAGGGGAGGGATGAAAAGACTGCTCCGATCAAAAGATCTATCATTTGTGTGGACCAGGAATGTATTGGAATTTCTGATAGCTGGGTGACATTGTCCAGTCACATCAGCTCTCTGGTTCATTATATCTTTGGGTTCTTTTTGAACTAAATTGCTTTTGTGTCAAGTAGTCCCATCTTAGCCATGTGGAAATAATTTTTAACTTTAACCTAATTTTTAAAACCTCATAATAAACAGCACCATTAATGACATATAACTTTCATCAGAGTTATTGGTGGTTAAGAACCTAGCTCTGGAATCAGAGACCCTATAGGTTCAAATCCTATCTCCGTTGCTTATTGACCTTGAGATGGTTCATTGTGATTGTGCCTGTAAGATACTTCCCGTGGCTCTTGGCACGTGGTCAATGATCAACAAATGGGAGCTGTTTTTACCCTCTTTGCCAGACTCCTGCTGAGCTCAACAGGCATTATCCTATTTAACCCAACTACAACTTGAATAATACTCTTACTCCTTTTTTCAGATGGAGGAACTGAAACTCAAAAGAATTATGTAAGGGGCGCCTGGGTGGCTCAATGGGTTAAGCGTCTGCCTTCTGCTGAGGTCATGATCCCAGAGTCCTGGGATCAAGCCCCCCGTCCGGCTCCTTGCTCAATGAGGAGCCTGCTTCTCCCTCTCCTCCCTGCTTGTGCTCTCTCTCTCTCAAATAAATTAAAAAAAAAAAAAAAAAAAACCTTTAAAAAATAACAAAATAGTTATGTAACTTGTTCAAGGTTATATGGCTGCTGAGTGGTGTGTTAGAAATTTTAGCATAGGGCGCCTGGGTGGCTCAGTTGTTAAGTGTCTGCCTTCAGCTCAGGTCATGGTCCCAGGGTCCTGGGATCGAGTCCCACATCGGGCTCCCCGCTCAGCGGGAAGCCTGCTTCTTCTCCCACTCCCCCTGCTTGTGTTTCCTCTCTCACTGTGTCTCTCTCTGTCAAATAAAATCTTTAAAAAAAAACAAAAAAAAAACGGAATTTCAGTATAGGTCTATCCAATGCCAAATGATTGGCACACCTACTTAGCTTTATTATGTGGTATGTTATTTGTATTAGTATTTTCTGACCCATTCTTTTAACCCTTGTCTGTCTTTTTTTTTTTAATTTTTTATTGTTATGTTAATCACCATACATTACATCATTAGTTTTAGATCTTGTCTGTCTTTTTAAAAACCTATTTATTAAATATTTAACTTCTACAAGGAATATTTGTAACATATGTGTGAATTCAAAGATTAACAACACGTATGCATTACCCAACCTGAAATATAAAATGCCATCAACATCTGTAAATATTTTCTCCTTGTCCTCGCCCTGTAACCCCTACCAAGCAGTAACCATTATTCTGAATTTTGGGATTATCACTTGTTAACTTTGTCTTATTGGTTTTCCACATATAAATATATTCCTAAACAACATATTTTCATATAACTGTCTGGTTGAATAAGTATAACATATGAGATGTGGCCGTGAAACAACTTTATTTTTTTGTTCCCTGTTGTCCCTTTAAGTTAGCTCTGTGATTAGTTCTTGCCACGCCCTCCATGGAGACTCAAGCAGTACCCATGACTTTTCTGGTCATTTTTGGGTCATAAGAATCTCATTTCAAGTTGGAAAAAAAAGCCAAACACAGTACTCTACTCATTCCTTCAATTGAAATGCTCAACTTCATGTAATAATCGAACTTTAATCTTGCTTTAAAATTGAGGCTCCTGACGTTGGCAGGGCATGTCTCACCTCCTTGTCCCCTGCCCCCAGCCCCCCAGGAGTATTGTAGGCCATCCCAAGCCCTTGTTCTGTCACGTGGATTTTAAAGTCAGCTGGTCAACCGTTATGCACATATAGAGCCTGGATTTTGATTGGAGGTATTTTTGAATCTTGATGTTGTTATGGTCGTGGTTCTCCCTTTACCTTAGTCAGGTTAGCATAATTGTTAACCTAAGAGGTGGTTTCTGGGCACTTCTCTAGGTGGGCAAGGACCCTCTGTGCTGTGTTCAAAGCTCTCAAGTAGTAGAAGGTGTGCGTCACTGGCCTGACCGTCCCATTCCCATCAGCGGCTCTTTATTTATGTTTTGAATTAATATACTTTATTTTTTAGATCTTTAAGTTTACAGAAATATTGATTGGGAAGTACAGCGTTTCCAAATACCCCTATCCCCTGCACACAGTTTCCCATTATTAACATTTTACATCAGTGTGGCACAATGAGCCAAGGTTATTAAATCTGTTATTACTAACTAAAGTCCATAGTTTATGTTAGGGTTCACCTTGGTGTTGTGCAGTCTGTGGGTTTTGACTAATGTATAATGATGCGTATCCACCATTATAATATCATACAGAGTAGTTTCACTGCCGGAAACATTCTCTGTGCTCCTCCTATTCATGCGTCCTTCCCCCTTAACCCCCGGCACCCACTGATCTTTTTACTGTCTCCATAGTTCTGCTTTTTTCCAGAGTGTCATATAATTGTAATCATACAGAATGTGGCCTCTTCAGATTGGCTGCTTTTAAGGTTTCTCTGTTTTTCATGGCTGAATAGCTCACTCCTTTTTATGGCAGTAAAAACCACTGACTGCAGTGATATCCCATTGTCCGTGTGGTACAGTTATTTATCCCCTCGCCTCTTGAAGGACGTCGTGGTTGTTTCCCAGTTTGGGCAATCATGAATAAAGCTCCTCAGGTCCTCATTTGTAAAATGAGACCTTGAACAAAAGTCTCGATCATTTCCAACAGTCAAAAATCCCATCTGTGAAGAAACCTGACTACCAGGAACAGGAAAATTAATTTGGGCGGCATTTTAAAGTCGGACCTAAGCGGTCCCCTGAGGGGAGGACGCGCACGAGGAGGAAAGAGAAGGGTGGCCGTGAGGTGAGAAAGCAGCTTTGAATGAGAAAGACTGGATAGAGCCGCGAGCCTATGTATTACTTTAATTAATTAATTAAAAAGTGTAAAACAGAACCAAGAGCAGCAAAAAGCGTAGCTGGAGGTGGAGGAGCCGCGCCAGGCTGAGAGAATGGAGGAATTTTCCGGAGGGGCTGGTGGTGGGAGCCAGGGCCCCTGCTGCTCAGTTTATGGGACTCGTTTGACAGGGAATAACCAGTTTGCCTGTGGAGCTATTAAGGAAGGACAGACAGCCGCAAACATGCACGAATGTATCTGCTCAGCTGGCCGGACGGCATCATCTACTCGAAACGGTAGAACAGCAGCGATCACGTTTATGGGGCCGCACTCACTACACAGAGCCTGTCATGGCGCCTGGAGCCCGGTTGGTAGCTGCCACCCGCCTGTTCCTCACGCTGAGGTAACTCGCACTCTGTTCTGAATCTGACCCAAGGGGTTGGGCGTGGAGAACTCGCCAGGCCCGGGGGCGCGGCTTCTCCGTGGGAAACGTCTCCACCCACTTCCGGCGTAGCGCTGGCGGCTGCGCTGCCGCTGACCTGTCCGCGCTGCTGCCTCTGGAGCTTGTGCGCAGGTGTGTAGGACCAAGACTTCGCATCGTGATGAAGGGGGATCAAGAAATTGTTGGAACACTTCTGGGATTTGATGACTTTGTCAGTGTGGTACTGGAGGATGTCACTGAATTTGAAATCACGCCAGAAAGAAGGAGGATCCCTGAATTAGATCAAATTTTGCTCAGTGGAAATAATGTAACAGTGCTGGTTCCTGGAGGAGAAGGTCCTGAAGTATGAATGGATTTCCTTGACTTCCTCTGTTTTGTCTTATAATGACAACAAGATAGAAATTTTTTTTTTTAACCTTTTAATGTTTGGATTCCGTAAAGCTAAGTTTCCCATTAAAGGGAAATGTTTTGAAGATGCATTTTTAGTAAATGCCCATTTTTGTAAGTTAATCATTATTATCTTGGAAAAAGAAGAACACTTTGTTCTTTGAAGACTAAAATTAAAGTGTTTTTGGTTAAAAAAAAAAAAGAGAGAGAAACCTCTCTACCTTTTGGATTGCAGCCGGGGTATATCCCAGAAGATAATTTTTTTTAGAGAGCTCCTGATTGTTCTGTTGTGGGAAGCCTTCTCTCTGGGGCTCTAATGGAACCAGGTTTCCTCTCCTGTGTAATTGAGGGCTGAGCCCTGGAGAAAAGCTCAAGTCCAAACGGGCAAATACTAAGAAGTCAAGATGTTTGTTTTAAAGTCCCTTAAAAAGAGTGACAGAAAAACCATCAAGAAGGAAGACCTTTTCTGAGGTTGTGGGTGAGGAGGATGGAAAAATGGGGAGGCATGTTACCGACTTCTCTCAGGTGGGGATTTGGGAAATATATTGTGGCTCTTGACTGAAATTCATGACCTGGATGCTTGCAGTAAATACATGCTTTACCATGAATTTTGTGACCTGTTGTCTAAATCCTCCTCAAATGTTTATTAGGTTAATCGTAAGGCAATTATGATTCCTGTTTTTTATTTTGTATGTTTAACAGCTTTATTGGTATTTTTAGTTAACTCATTTTAATTTTACAATTCAGTAATTTTTAGTAGATTTACAGAGCTGTGAACAGCCATCGCAACAATCTAATTTTGAAATGTTTCCACCATCCCCAAAAGAAACCACATGGCCATTTGTAGGCGACACTTGTTTCCTCCCCTGGCCCCTGGCAACCACTAATCAGCTTTCTGTCTCTATAGATTTGCTCTCTGGGCATCTCAGTATGTTGCTAGAACCAAACAGTATGTGGGCCTTGTGTCTGTCTTCTTCTTAGCCCTGTAAGGTTTTACTTAGCTTTTGAGGTTTATCCACGTTGTAGCAATATTTATTTTTATACAAGTAAGTGACTTTGCAATACATGACTCATGTCTTCCGTACATCTGAATTTATTCTTGCTTTTAAAAGATAATGGGTACAGATATTATTTTGTTGTGTGGTGGTGAGCTTGTTTTTTAATTCTTCTAGGATTAAATCAGAAGGACATTAATGATCTCATTGTGCAGAAGAGTCTGATCTTCCTGTGACTGGGCCCCCAAGCCCTCTTTTGATTGTAAAGCTGTACAGCTACACTAAATGGGCGGCTGTAAATATTTTGCCCGTGACCATAAAGGGCATTTGGTCCCACAGCGAACAGCACATTCTTGAAACTAGCCTGGGGACAAATGTCTGCTTGAGCACTTTCTCATCTGCACCATAGCTGGGCAGGGCATCCTGCCAGCACAATCCCTGGAACCCAGTACTGGCCCTGGTCAAAGACCTAAGTTCCTATTTTTTAACTTTACCTTTCTTTGGGGTACAGTATTGGAATGCTCCTGTGACTTTTTTTGTGTGTGTGCAGATTGGAGAAGAAAATTAAAATTGAGATTTAATACCTGAAGGGAGTAGGAGGAAGAATCTTGGAAAATAATAGATAATAGGTCCAATATTCCTATTGAGAAGATGTAGGTAGAAGACAGTGACAACTCTCTCATTAGGCAGGTTTTTTTTTTTTCTTTTGTTCTTCTCTTTTTACATTTCCTATTTTTTAGGATAAGAAAACTTCAGCAAAGGTAGCAAAGCACTCACGAGAGACCAGAATAATGTTACGAACAACCACTTACTTTGTGAACTAAAGAAGAGCATAATGCTGAAGCATTTCACGTGTTTGTCCAGTGTGGTGGTGTTGATAAGGAAATAGTAAGCCCTAACTCAGGATGTAATAAATAGCTCTAAGAATTATGCAGTGATTTTTATTATGTCAAGGTTTCTCAGGAACAGATATTTGGAGTTGCCACTTTCCCAAGTGCCATGCCCTTCCCACCCCCCCACCCCCCCAAAAAAGGGCAAAGGACCATTCCATGGAGGATAAAAATGGGTGCCTGGATAATCATCACTTAATAGAAAAGGTAAAAATACTGATAATATAGCCCTTCAACTTTTTCTATGTCTCTTCTCTAAATTCCACACAAAGAAGCCTTCATTTCATAAAGTCTGTTTTGGTACCTGTCTAGTGAGTCAGGTGTCAACTCAAGAAAAGGGACGGAACTCCTCTGGCCCGTCACTTGTTTCCTGAAACATCACTACTGAGGATTCGATGTGGTACGCGGGTCTCTGGATGTTACGTATAGATGGACAGTCACACATGCATGTTGGGAGGGCAGGACTCCAGTAATGTAGGGCTTTCCCTTCATTTCATGGCTGATTCCTGAAGGCAAGAATTGGGATAGGGTGATTTCTGTGGCTTCAGTTCAGTGGGCCCTCCAATTCTCAGACTTATTTCTCTTTCCCGGGGTATATCTATAGGAAAAGCAGCTGGAAAGCCTCTCTTTGTCTCTTTTTTTTGATATTACAATGTACAGGTAATTCATGGGAAGAATTTGGTAGTCTCTCTCACAGATGGAGACGTTTCCCTTGTAGGCATCCAGACCTAATGTTTACAAAGAGACTCTGAATGTTTCATCAAATATTTATTGAGCTGCTATTAGGTGCCAAGTACTGTCCTATGTACGTGCTGTGGCTAGGGATGACTATGACAGGCCCTGTCCTTAAGGGGCTTGTGTCCGCTGGGGGGTATGTCAGTCATGCACAAACCTAACTTAAAAATGGTGTGTGTTAGGTGCGGTCTGCCATGGCATTGTGGTTTAGCACAGGACCTGTTACTTTCAAGACGCCATCAGGGAAATTTCACTTCTGAGCTGAATCTCATGGGTGACAGTGGCAGGAGGAAGGTCACAGAGGGATAACAGCCAGGGGCTGACCGGAGCACTTGTTATGTCTCAGACACTGTTGCACGAATAATATTATTTAATCCTTGCCACGGTCCTTTAAGGTCTCTGGTCCTGTTATTCCCACTGTGCAGGTGAAAAGTCTGAGGAAGCTTTGTGCGCAGGGATATTTGAAACTGTATAGGATAGTCATGAATTTTTCTGAATCAAGTATATCTTGGAAAATTTTAATTCATTTAATGGGTAAATTTGAAACTGGTTTTTTTGTTTTGTTTTGTTTTTTGCCTTTTTTTTTAAGCCAGAGCATTTTTTAAATGTAGAAAAATGCATGTATTATAAAACTTCGCATTTTAACCATTTTTAGCTGTACAGTTCAGTGGCACTAAGTGCACAATATTGACATTGTTGTGCAATCATCACCACCATCCATCTCCAGAACCTTTCCATCTTCCCAAATTCAGGCTCTCTACCCTGTAAACACCAACTCCCCATTCCTTCTCTATCCCCCAAGTCCCTGGCAACCACCATTCTATTCTCTGTCTCTATCAGTTTGGCTACTCTAAGTACCTCAGTGTGATTGGAATCAAAGTATTTGACCTTTCCTGCCTGGCCCTTTTCACTTCGCATAATGCCCTCAAGGTTCATCCATGTTGAAGCATAGTGCAGAATCTCCTTTTTTAAGGCTGAATGATAGTCTATTATACAGATAATACTACATGTTGTGTATCCATTCATCTGCAGATGGTCTTTGGGCTGCTTCCACCTTTTGGCTACTGTGATAATGATGCTGTGTACATGGGTGTACAAATACCTCTTCAAGACCCTGCTTTCAGTTCTTTTGGGTGTATCCCCAGGAGTGGAATTCCTGGATCCTGTGGTAATGCTATGTTTAACTTCTTGAGGAACCTCCAGACTGTTTTCCATAGCAGCTGTACCATTTTCCATTCCCACAACAGGCAACAGTGGTTCTAATGTCTCCACATCCTCACTAACACTTGCTATTTTTCTGTATTTTGGATGAAATTCATCCTTAATGGTTATAAGGTGGAAAGCATTGTTTTTTATAAAAATAAACTTTCTGAAGGGAATGAAAAATTTGCATGACTTGTAAAGATAAATCATGGAACTTGAATTTTCTGCATTCAGTAACCTGCTTCCCTCAGCCTTCCCCAAGGTGTGAACTGGCTCTCCTTGGTCCCCAGGGAGAGGCAATTGCAGTGAGTTCAGGGCTCCATCCCTTTCTCCTCTGTGATCTTAGGGCCCAGCCTCAGATTTGCATCTGTGAAATGGGTGAGGTAGTAGAGGGTGGTTATGAGCATTGAGAATATCTGGCATACAGACTTTCTCTCTCACTGATTGATATTATCAGGAGTAATTTAGAGGAAAAGTTTGAGCAGCACTGCCTGAGGGGAGTTGTTGAAAAGCTTTCAGCTGGGAAGTGGCAAGCCTCCTCCTTATTGTCTGCCAATAATTTTGAGACTGGAATTCCTTTGTCAGCAAGCTGGAGGAAGGCGGTTAATGTCAAGAGAGGCCCAGAGTTGCTGATTGTGTTTAGAATCAAGGACCTGGTGGCCTCTCAGAATGGGGAGGAAGCAACTGTATTTCAGTGATTGCTTGTAATAGGTTCAGCTGCCAGTCAGGATGAATGACCCATGCTCCATATTCCTGTTGGCTAGATGCATGTTGGGTCCAATTCCAGATTGTTCTACTATGGAATAAAAGAGAATGTGCCTGAGGAAGACTGGAGTTAGAGCATAATTTCATAATCGCCCTAGAATTCCAGATGGGGAGTATCAGTAGAGCCTGAGTTCTTAGAGAGCCATTTCACCTTCCCATCAGGATGGCATTCACACTGGCTTCTGAATGAGCTGCTCCCAGTGATTCAGTCATGAAACGCCTGGTGTGGGTGTGGAGCACTTTCCAGATTGATCTTTAGCTGCAAATAGGTTTCACTCTCTGGGTCAGAGGGTTCCCAGACTTTCTCAGTCCATGAGCCCTGGTGTCTTAAGTCTGTTACAGAACCCATAGGCCAAAAGAAATACCTAATAATTCCATTTACCTAAATAGTTTTAATTAGCTGTCTGAAAAAGGGTGTTTCCAACTGTAGAGAGAAAGAAGAAAGCTAAGAAAAACTTCAATTTCTTCAGAAATTAGTGTGCTTGGTGCAATTTGAAGTCACATGGAAGTCTTGAGATGAATCATCTCAACTCCATTGTTGAAGGTTAGATATAGGTTTTTTTTTTTTTTTTTAACTAAGTTTCATAAAATTCGTAGAAAATAGGGCTCTCTAATTATATTTGTGTTATTTCCTGGACAAGATTGTAATTCTGCAGAGCAGGCCCATGTTGAATGTGGCTTCCTGGGCCTTGCCCAGTATTGGTGAGCTGCCAGTTCCCGCATGTGGACCCATTATCACAGTGATACAGGGAGACATGTTGCTAATCCCCAGCTTAGGGGAACAAGAACTATGCTTAGGATCAAGCAAATTTTAGGAATTCAGCTTGAAAATGCACAGTGATCGCAGTAGTATCACCAGTATTTTAAAGGACCCACTCCTCTTTTTCTCTTAAGCCCTAGTGATGCTTTCAGTTGGACGGGTAGACAGCTGGACAGT